GATCACACGGGAGCAGGAATTCTGCAATTTAGCTAATGTATGAGATTTTGGTTTCCTGAGGGAAGGGAGCAAGTACATCTCTGGTGCAGGATAGGCTGAAGCCTTTTAATCACTTCTGACAAGTAAATGGACATGGGATGTATCAGGGGAAAGTTCTGCCCTTCGCTTGGTCAAACGTTTAAAATGGTGCCATTTCTTCTTTACATTTCTCCCTTCTGCACTGCTCTGCACATACTCCCCCACCCAAAGGTTCAGAAACACAGACTGAGTGTTTCATTTCTTTGGGAAGCTTGGTTGTAATGCAGACCCCTTTTTCTTCATGCAGTCTTTTTGATTAGAGTTTCAATCATTCGAATAATGGATTAAATAAATTAAAACTCAAAACCCATGAAACATTAAATATGAGGGTTCGTAATAAATGAGAAAATCTAATCCCATTGATAAATGGACAGAAATATTTAGATCCTTTATTTAAGTAAAGGATCCTGTTTCCTTCCCTCATCAGTGGATTCTCCACTCTGCCACTCATCGCCTGCCTGCCTCTCATTCATCTCTCCTGCCCTGTTTTCCCATCAACGGATTCACCGCCCTGCCATTCATCGCCTGCCCGCCTCTCATTCATCTCCCAGCCTTCACCTTTACCTGCTCTGCCACAATTCCCTTTACAATAAATCCAGCCCTCAACTTGCTCGCCTGAGTCCGTGCTCTGCTCCTGGGTCCACTAAATAGTCGTTGCTTATAACACAGAGGAGCTGTGAGATGATTAATGAAGTACGAACAGAGGAAAAACAAAGTTCTGCTACACAAATCTGTATTCATCTTTTAGACTTTGGACTTTAGTGAGAATTATTGCTACTGCTGAAGCAAAGACATCAAGGCATGGGGGTTGGGGGGGGCACATTTATGTCAGTGGAACAGCAAAGACAGGTGGGCTCTTGGCTGATACATCTAATAATATCTACCAGCAGATTTATGAAGTGATGTTCAGCTGGGAAATTTGCCCACAGAGCACTTCCAGAATGACAGAGCTCAGTTCACAGCTACTGTACATTCCATATACAGTGTCCTGATGGCGGAGTCACTGGGGTTACAGAGGAGCGCTCAGACAAATCATAGGTCCCCGTCAACACAGAAGACACTTCCAACTGCAGTAGGTCAAGGAACGAGGCTGTGATACAGGTAATAAATTTTAAAAAAACACAGAGAGCTGCAGGAGCTTTATTAAGACTGAAGTCAGTGCGACTGGCCTGAGCTCACACAGGCAGGCGACCTTCAGCAAAGGAATGATTGGAGTAAAGTAGGTTGGATGTCATTTAGGGACAAAAAGTGACTGGTTAAATGTCACTGTGACCGTTGTATCTTCGGGCAAATACAGGTGAAGGGCTGTTTCAAAGCACTAAGAGTATTCCACAGGTAGAGGAAAAAAAAATCACTTTAGCACTTTCTGCCCTGAGGTTACGTGAGAGAATTTGGTATTAGCTGTTAAATTATTTTACCCCCAGGCCGCCCGCCCTCGACAAATCTGCATTAACAAGGTTATCATTCCCGCTCTCTCTGTTTTACACACGACCTCTGCAAAATTCTTGGATGTGGAGTATGTAATGTTTTATGTAGTGCTTTTATAACCTGTGCTTTTAATGGATATAAATTCAGTAAATAATTCCCCACATTTTTAAGAGGGAAATCACTTATTTCTGCATAAAGCCCCACAGCCCCATGTTAAACAGGCCATGCCTCAGTTTATATCTGTTTCGTTGGGCCTGTTGGGTCAGAGTGAGTTTGAAGGGATGTTTGCTGGTAAACACCCAGGTGGACAATAACAGTGTGGGCAGCTGGAAAATATGCAGCACATCTCCTCGCCTTGATGTAGGAGGCGCAGTCAAGACAGAAAGGACTTACACAACCCAAGCTGGTTATGCTCGGATTAACACTATAATCATGTCTAAAATACTGTGAATTTGTCATTATACTAATGACAACCACCACATGATTTCTGTGCATTGGTTATTTAAGCCTATGATGCTAATCCAATATGAGCATGCTCTCCTTAAAAATATTGTATATAAGCAACATTTTTTTAATTTGCATGTCATTTCATCATCTCATTTTTTTAGGACAAGACAACAAACACACAAAACGTATTCTCCACAAGCCCTGTGAGGCCCAGTGTTGCAAAATTGCAACGTCACATTTAACCATCCTAAAAAAAGATCCCTGAATGTTTTTTTTTTTCTAAAGACCACATTTCCACAGTCAATGGGTCTTATTGTTTATCCTCATGATGCTATTGGATAGAATACGTGTTTATAGCTTCGGTCATCTGACCATGAACTCACACTACCTGCGAACTTTCCTCCGAGCTCATCTCCTTGTTTCACTGGACTGGATTTGTCAAGATTCAAGTCATTAAATTACCTGAAATATTTTTATTTGTGTTTATTACAATGTCTAGAACATGAAGATGTTAAGTTATTGTGGAAAACATTCATCAAATTTGATTTTACAACACTGCGTCATTGTGCTACTTACAATGGCCTGTGCACCTGACACATTACATGGAGACATTGAACTTCTCACTTGTTCACATATGGAAAAAAATATCATTGGAAATATAATATATGCAATGATTCATTATAACTAAGTTTTATATTTGTTTTCTCTGTTATTTTTTCTAGTTTAGACCAGAATTGATAATAATAAATAAATTAATTGTTTTTGGTATTTGAAACACTATCTACTCTTTAGTATGATAACAGAGGACAGATTAGGCCAGACAGAGTGGTGGAAGTGTTCAGAGTGGAGATCCAAGTCCTAATCCTAATCCTTTCCACAGTCACACAATAATGACTATCTATTCTTTCAGGTTATCTACTACAAATAATACTCATGTGTATCTTGTATATGTATCTCATTATTTTTTATTCTGTCCATTTCAGAATGCCACCAGCACGAAGAGACCGTCTACACACTGTCTCTCTCACTGACTCTACACTCTGTGGACTATGATAAAATTTAGTTTTGTAAACAGAACATTTAGATTTGTAATGTAAATTTTGTCCTACGTTTTTTTTATTAATAAATGATTATTCATAAATATATGTATATATATCATTATTCACAATGTATACTATCATGGGGCTAAATAGGCAGTGAACCCTGCAAATGAAGCCTGAGTTGCTCTGTATATATGTTCAGACAATGTGAGTAAAAATACAGAAATTCTACTCTCACTGAGGCCCAACGTTGCAATATTACAACGTTTTCCTAAAAGCTTATTAAAACGTAAAACATTCGAAAACCCTTTAATTTCTACATCAGAGGCCTCCTACAACATCTGGAGGGTGAAAGTTTTTTTTTGCTATTTTTTTTTTCTATGTCTGGTTTTACAGGGCTGGCACTGAATTCAAAATTAAGTGATTTAATACAAAATAAACCGTTGACTGTTACATTAATTGTCAATTTAGAGTGCGATTACGCATAGGCCTATAACTAAGAGCCCCGTTGGATATGTCGACGTACGTCCACATGCCCACCAGCTCGGTGGCCAGCCGTGATCGTATAGTGGTTAGTACTCTGCGTTGTGGCCGCAGCAACCCCGGTTCGAATCCGGGTCACGGCATTTTGTTTTGGCAGAGAGACCTGCGCTCATGCAGAGACACGATGACCAAAGTGTTGTTGCTGTCTTTACCTCACGTCCAGGTTGTTTCTGCTTCTGACGAAAAGGTGACGGGGACAGCCATACGTTGCTCTGCCGACATCTCCGCACGTGTGTTCGAGGAGAAAACCGCCCCCTCTGAGAGCTCCTCTTACACAGCCTTCAACGGCAGGTTTTTGGCTTCTTGCCGACTTGTTTCAAGAACAGAAAAGACAGAGATATAAAGATATGAGCCAAAAAATGAAATAAGACTGATAAACAATTTCAGATGTATTTAAAGAACAAAGAGTTAAGGAATATAGGCCTATTTTAGAATTTTGATAAATATCTTCAAGAGCAATTAAAATCGCTTTAATCTCAGCACGGAATTCTGTCAATAATTATACCTGTTGAGGTGCACGTACAGGACTTGGTGGCGCGCCGTGATCGTATAGAGGTTAGTACTCTGCGTTGTGGCCGCAGCAACCCCGGTTCGAATCCGGGTCACGGCAGTCTGTTTTAATGTTGAGATAAATGCACGCACAAATTATCCGTCTGATACTGATACTGACACTTCTGTCCATTAATCAAATAACCAAATAATAGATACTGATATTGTCACAACCTGCTCCAAACGAAAGGATTCACACGTGATTTTCTAACTAAAGATTTATTTTGACAAAATATGAATGAACTAAAGGCAATGTAAAGTATATTAATCATCATCAGTGGTATATTGAGGGAGAGAGAGAGACAAATCCACTTACTTTTATAACTTAAGAACAGCCAGCACAGGTGTTAGTCATCATTCATACACTTCCTGCTTCACTCCCAAAAATGGAGAAAGGACCACTCACAAAGGTCAGCCCAAACAGGAAGTCATCCCAACATCATCTGTGTTTGCTGTATTAATTGATTGATTTGACTGCCCTAGCAATTCATCAGTAGGCTATATTTGTTTATCCAACCTTCATTTCTATAGAGTGGTCCAATCACAGAAGTAACACTGTCTTTTCCACAGCATCCTTGTGCACACAGGACAACAGCGACATAATTTCAAAGAGCAGAAACCATACCCTTAGACAAACACACTCACAACTTATAAACTGCAGCTAACAGATAAGAATAAGCGGTAAAGAGATAAGAACTGTGTCGATGATAAGGACGTTCAAACCCATCAAAAATTGAATCAAGCCAAGCCAACCTTATAGTCATAAATATAAGTAAATAATCAACTTTACCCAAAATTCTGATAGATGTTAGTAATGTAGAATAGCTCTTATTTGGAATAAATAACTGATTTGTTTGGTCTTTCTCGGTGACGTGAAGTCTCGCGTTACTACTCCCCTAAAATCCCGTCCAACAAAATCGACCAGGAAGTGAATGGCGGAAATATAGATCCACCTCACGCTTTCAGTTCACAGTTTTTGGCCAGACCTGTTTTTTCCCCTGAATGGAGAGGCCAGAGGAGTAGGTGGCAGATGTGTTCAGATAAAAGCGGTGGACGGTTTTGAAGAAACGATGTCGTCGCGTTTAACTACCTGGCAAGAACGGTAAAGTGAATGGACAGATAACCACCAGCGAAGGTCCTGTGACTGACAACCTGCAGGATTAAACACCGGTATGTTTAACTTTAAAGACTCACTCTTGCTTCCATTATATGCCACAACATATGAGATAGAAATAAGTATAAAAAGTCTGACAACGCTGACGCAGTGTTGGAGGAGTTGAAAACAACAGATTTGAAGAAACATTAGAAAACAAATCCTTTGATCTTAAACCCAGGAAAATCAGCCATATGGACATTTGACAGCAAGTGTCTCAGAATTTAAATAATTTTAAGGACTAACAATTGTCTCTAGCCGCCTACAATCAATCAAATGGTGGTCAATCAACACAAACAGCGAATAACTGGTGGTTATTTACTGTAACCTCAGGCAACTGAATAATAAATCTGTAGTACATAAGCCTGACAACTATGACCAAAGTGTTCACAATAAGTCTTTTATTTTGAAATGACAGCTGCATAAATCTATGTGAATATGATGTGTCTGTCAGTGTCAGAAATAGTCTGACTAGATGTGAGGCGCTGCTGTCAATTCATCTTTCATTTTTAGCCAGAATAGTTTAACAATGACAAAACCAGAGGAGCAACTTCTGGCAAATGTTCTTGACCAGCTGTAAATTTTTGATACCCTTTCCACATACTTTTATGTACTTTTGGTATTTTATTATTTTTCAAATAACATTATATGTATAAATATTACCTTTATTGGATGCTTGATAGTGCATAGACAAACAGCGAACAAGGAGGGAGAGAGGGGTGTGATGCAAGAGGGGAGAATGTCACAGTAGCATATTAATGTCCATAAATATTAAATGAGATGCTTAAAAATTATTTATGGGTGTAATCTTTGTGTCTACATACTTTTGGCCATGCATTTCAGTTTCATTTCTAAGGTGACTAACTGGTAATGCATCGAATTTAAACAAAGACACCTCTGCCAGTTAATGAACAAATGCTCACTCTCACCACCATTCTTTCATCTCACCATATCAGTATGAATTTTTTACTACTCCTGTTAATTCTCCAAGCCCAAGCCAGGAAACTCAAGTGATGTCATTTAAGTACTCTTCTCTGACCCAGTCATATCAAATCCCATTTAAACATCATACTACCTACTTATCCTCCAACTGTGACTCTTCATTCGCAGACATATGGCCCTGCTCCTCAGCTAGCCGAGGGAGACAACGACACAACACAAGCATCATGTTTCTGAAAACATCGTTCACCACCCTGATCGTGGGGGTGTTTGTAGTGTACGTGCTCCACACCTGCTGGGTGATGTATGGGATAGTGTACACCAAACCCTGCGACAGCCCCAAAGGTGACAACTGTATCACACCCTTCCTGGCAGGGAACCCGAAACTACAGGTCAGTTATGTGGATGGATATATGGATGGTCTCACTGACTGATCAGTTTTGATTGCTGTTTGTCTTCTGTTCAGCTGTCTGTGTGGGTGGTTTGGTTTGAGTAGAAGTGGGTAGGAACAATGTTCCAGTTTGAATAATCATTTTAATAAGTTTAAATAATAATGTAATAATAGCTGTAATATCTCGCTCTGTGTTTACTAGTTGAGTATCTACACTGCACTGCGGCCCAATGGAGAGGGAGGACATACCCTGATCCACAAAGAGGAGAACTTTGATGTCAACAGCAAGTTTGAGAGGTTCGTGGGATTTACATGTTTTAGTGACAATGGGAAAATGAGTATTTTCTGTCCTCACATCTGATTGGTTAAGTAAAACTCTAAGTATTGTAACAGCAGTGTTACCTAAATTCATTATAACAGTGAGTTATAAAACATTTGCAGATCAGTATTTCAGGTTTTTAAATACACAATGCATAACATTAGCATGCAGTTTTTTTCAAACAACACCAGTGTAATGCATGCAGTCATATTCTGACATGTAGTATAAAATCTTATGATTATGCTATTGTTTCAACCACATCACACTGGGCTTTATAGCAGCTATCCATCAAATTAAGTCCATTGTAGACAAAATTATGAAACTGTATTAAACATATACATTTTTTCCATGTCTTCTCTCTCTCTTCCAGGATAGTCAGTGTCTCCCTCCCTAAGAAGACCCGTAACAATGGAACTTTATATGCACTGATATTTGTCCATCAAGCCGGCATCACTCCTTGGGCAGATCCACGGCAGGTCCACTTGGTGGCTAAGGTCACCACCTACATGGTCCCTAAACCGCCTGAAATCTCTCTGATATCCGGCGAGGATCAAACACATGTATGTGTTAAGGGTGATCAGGTTTTTGGTTTTCTTAATTGTTATTTGTCAATTTATTTGTTCTCGTCTCTGTCTGATGTTGTTCGGAAGATACTTTAATTACAAATCTTAACTCGTTTTGAGAGTAAACTTTTTTGTTTTGTTTTATCTAAATAATGTAGGGTCAGAAAGAAGAACCTCAGCAGACGCAGCATGGTGACGGTAACCCTGCAGCAGGGGGTGGAGTTGGAAGTGGAGCCACTTCCACATCGGATCACCCAGTTTCCCACTGGCGTTCCCGCCTGACGCTCAACATTGTTGGCGACCATTTCCTGTTTGACAAAGAATACCTGCCAAGTGATGTCCATAGATACCTCAGAGTGTAAGATAATGAATTAACAAACACACACACACACACACACACACACACACACACACATACACATACACACACAGTGCTCTCAAAGAATGAAAAAGCATGGTCCGGCATGTACAAGGTACAAGGGATATACGCTCACTTGTAGATTCATGCAATTTGGGACAGAATACAGATTTCCCTGTTAGTTTGAATGAAGTGGTTTCACTGTGGTTTTAGTTGTACTACTAATGGATTACACAGAGTACAAAAGACATCACAAGATGTTTTGTTTTCTGTGTTTCAGATTCCAAAATGGTAAAAAGATGGTGTATCTACCTCTGCTGTTTGTTGATGAGCTCAGCAACCGGGTCAAAGACCTTGTGGTAAGTTTTAACTTTTAAATAAATATTATGTAACACACTGCAACAGTCTGTCTGGTAGCCTCCAAAGGCATATTTTAAATTCACAGTTTTTGTTGAACTTTATTAGAATAAAATGCAAAAACTTATTCTATGACCATTCTATTCTATGAATCAAGGCTGGTATCATGACCCAGACCCTTAATTAATTTGTTTTCACTGCCTCCAGCTATGAACTGCTTCCTGCCTCAGAATAATATACAGTCCTTGATGAAAGGTTTTGTGTGTATGTTTGTTTGTGTGTGTGTGTGTGTAGGAGATCAACAGTACCTCCATGGAGCTTCCTCTGACCATCTCTTACGACTCCATCTCTCTGGGGAGACTACGCTTCTGGATCCATATGCAGGACGCTGTTTACTCTCTGCAGCAGTTTGGTTTGTTGCTCTCTCTGTCACACACCGACACACATACATGCCTTGGTCTCTTCAAATCATGTATTTCTGTCTATGTCCCTGTATGTGTTGCAGGTTTCACAGAGAAGGATGCTGATGAGATTAAAGGGATCTTTGTGGATACCAACCTGTACTTCCTGGCTCTGACCTTCTTTGTAGCCGCCTTCCATGTAAGTCTGACTTCAGAGCTCTACACCACATTAGACTAGAATAGAGATAAATAGAACAGAGCTGAGAAACACTCGGCAAAATGCAAAAATCTTAGCGTTGCAGGATTTTTCAACTTAAAATACTACAACATATGTTTAGCATTTTTTATACTCTCATTTTGACTTTTTGACATAATAGCTGGATTAACTAGAATAACTGGGTTTTCTTGAAGTGGAACTTTCCATTCAACACAAAATGTCAGTATGACAGGCTAAACAAAGGTTCATACAGTCCTAAATGCTAAAATTGGATAACCACCAAATACCGCATCATCAATTATTGATGCGAGTCTGATTTTAAGCAATTGGTGTACATACGGTATGCTTTAGGAAATATGTTTGTAAAAAAAGCAAACATTTACCCACTCTTAGCTTTCATCTCTAAACATACGTAACATAAGGATAACAACACATTTGAAATATAAGTATTGACACCTCAACAATAACAGAAACATATGAAGTATATGACTATTGCTATCTGTCTATTGTTTTTTCAGCTCCTCTTTGACTTCCTGGCCTTCAAGAACGACATCAGCTTCTGGAAGCAGAAGAAAAGCATGGTGGGAATGTCGAGCAAAGCAGGTAGGTCACCTTGTTTTTGCCGACCTGCCAGTACACCATTCAAACAATAAAAAAAGGTAATATAGGATAAGGAACAAATGGTAAACAGAAACCTTTTGAAAATAGTGTAAAATGGTTGAAGCTACAAGAAACCAGGCACCATCTGTGTGTTGTTGTACAAACTGACTCAGTGAATCGGGGCTACTGGGTGGCCAGATGTTGCATCCTGCATCCTTCTACTCACCTTGACAATCTCAGATGCATTATGCACGTTTGCTGGCAGCTAATGGCAAAAATTAGCCATCTGCAAAATGTTGTGAGGCAATATTTGTTTCACAGCAGTATAAATAAGAGCACTTTGTCTGTACTTTATGATTCTGAATAGTTTTGACCTTTCTCTTGTGCTGGAACTGTGTTAATCCTCACGTCTGGTTTTCTGAGATGCTTGATTTATGGGTTTTGATTTTGAAAGTAAGAATAAGAACATTGGAATGGACTATGTATAACCCTATTACCTTGTAAATGCATTGAAATTATGGAAATGCTTTTATCTTCTGCTGGATTAAGTGTTACCCATAGAAAGTCTAGACCAAATGATTCATCAGCAGTGTTTCACTAATTTGGGCAAAGCCGTCACAGCATAAAACTTTGTGTTTGTGTTCTGTCTTTCAGTGCTGTGGCGATGTTTCAGCACCATAGTGATTTTCCTCTATTTGTTTGATGAGCAGACCAGCCTGCTTGTCCTTGTGCCTGCTGGGATCGGCACTATCATCGAAGTAAGTTCACATATACTGGGAACACACACTCATAAATCTAATAGATTCATAACTACACAGAGACGTTTACATGGATTAATCATCAATATTCAAAACAATATTTAATGTCTCTGAAAAGAGAATTTATTTTCAGGATGGAGTACATTTATTTTTCTTAGCTTTAGTATTTAGACGAATTCTACATCTACATTATATTGACATTATGGCTTTTGCATTACTTGTGACTGATACAGCTGAAAATGATAAAAAATATTTTTTTTTGGATGTGACGCCTAAAATAATATTTAATTGCCACATTACGGCAGAGCTCCATTGGCTCCACACCTCTCTGAAAGTCCCCTCTACTTAGTAAAAAAACACAGCAGTTTTAACAAAGGAAGTATTAAGTTGAATTTAAAAGAATTCATTATATGTATTTTGGAATTGTTTTATTTTTTGCAGGTGTGGAAAGTGAAGAAGGCCTTTAAGATCCAGGTTTTCTGGAAAGGAGGCAAACCAACATTCCTGGTAGGTGTATCCTATGTAGTTTTCCTCAATGGTAAATGAATTGTTATGGGGACCATCAGAGCGATGCTGCTTTCTATCAGTACATTATGTCCATTGCCATGTTCATCTACTGACTTCACAGTTTTGCAGATTAAAAAAATGTATCAAAACGTGCTAAGAGTATTTCTGTTTCTTTTTTTTTTTTTTTTTGGAACAGTTTGGGAAATTAGATGAATCAGAGAGGAGAACAGAAGAGTACGATACTCTGGTAAGAAACAATAGGCTCACACACTTACACATGCATACAGAACTAACAATACTTCTGCCATGAATAATGGTATAATACAGGCACATAAGCTAATCATAACATACCTTGTCTTTCTCTGTAGGCCATGAAGTATCTGTCATACCTCTTGTATCCACTGTGTATTGGAGGGGCTGTGTATGCTCTAATATTCCTACGATACAAGAGGTAGGTGTGTGTGTGTACATAACAAGCACAATTTTTACTTCATGAATGTAATTATGCCATGTGTCTTCCAGTCATTACCTGTCTTGATTGTTTGTCTCTCTCTCCCTGTCATAGCTGGTACTCGTGGCTGATCAACAGTTTAGTGAATGGTAAGATAAAATACCTTTTACCTTATCAATTAATACATTTTTCCATTGCCTTACATTATGTGATTATGAAGAAAAGGTTAATCAACATGTTCTGTAACCTTTACAGGTGTATATGCCTTTGGCTTCCTCTTCATGCTTCCTCAACTGTTTGTCAACTATAAGGTCAGTTTATCAAAGATACTGTGTTATGTTTCATACTATTTTAAAATGGAGTAATAGATCAAATAAATGTACCTTAAAGACAAAGTCACTTATGATTTCAGAGGAGGGCAAAATTGCTGGCAAAACACAACATTGGTCAGGTAGTTCCTCCAGCTCTTAGAAACAAAACAAACATAAAACTAACTTATTCTTCTCTGTTCTTTATTCAACAGTTGAAATCTGTGGCCCACCTGCCCTGGAAAGCCTTTATGTATAAGGTGACTGCAAAAAATTTGATTGTCAGCCATTCAGTTAGAGGAATGCTGAACATGTTTTTACCATGGCTCATGCTCTGGTTTGTTATTTTTTTGTTGAATTTTAATTGATATTTATTGATCATTACCAGGCATTCAATACCTTCATCGACGATGTGTTTGCCTTCATCATCACCATGCCAACGTCTCACAGACTGGCCTGTTTCAGAGATGATGTCGTGTTTCTCATTTACCTCTACCAGAGATGGTACATGGACACACACACACACTTGTTTCAAAAGTTGTCTGCAAAATAATCCCAACAGTTTTCCACTCTAAATCTCTGCTTCTGTCTCCATCCTCAGGCTCTACCCAGTGGACAAGACAAGAGTAAATGAATATGGGGTTTCTTACGATGACAAACCCAAAGGAAAGACTCACAGGGACTAAAGAGGAAAGACAGGTTGTTGGCTTCCATGATGTGGTTTCTGCAGGTTTTGTCTCCTGCCAAACCTGTCTCCTCCATGGATCTCATCTGGCATCAACTGAGCTGGTTTAATGGTCCAGGTGCAAAGGGGAAAAATATTTTTGTTTCTGGTCAGTTAGTTGTAAATGGTCCAGGTGCATCGACATCCTTGTGATTTGTGACTTTTTCACCCCGTCCCATAGTGCAAAGCGTTCAAAGGGAAGATCGATAATAAGCTGAATCTGTAACTCTTTTTAAACTGACACAACAACATGGAAAAAATGTGTTTGTGATTGGTGTGAATGGCCGGCACCCTGCTCAAGACCTGAGTCTACAACAGGTCAGACACTGCTCAATTCTGATATGAAATAGTACACTGATGACTATAGTAACTTTGCTATAGTAGGTATTGGTGGTAGCTTTGAGACCTCTTGGCCATATACTCTGCTCCTAGCTTTTTTCCACACATCATGTCAGTTCACAGCACTAGTCACATTCTTTGTTTGTTGTAATGCTTCTTGAGAACCACTGTAGATACTGTATCTTAAGAATTTTATTGCCATGTCAAAAAGGGATTATTATAATTTTAAATGATTTTATGTTGACAAATGCCAGTTAACTGACAGAGTACGTTTTGAGAAGAGCCTGGTTCAGGCTGCTTTGAGGAACAGATACTGAAACACACACAGTGTATCTAGGAGTTGTAAAATAACAATCAAGCGCTGCATTTTACACCTGCCAAGATGATTGAAAATATAGCTATCATATCAACTCAACATGGTTGTGACTGCAGGGAGCTTAAAATACTGCTTTGACAAATATATCCCTAATGTTTCCTTTTTCAGGCATTATTATACATTAAGCACCAAGTCTGAAACACCAGAGCTCTCACAAAAATCTGTTTGCCAGTCCTAATTACAGCTTGGATGTTGAAGTGAACACTGTACAAATTGAAAAATGGTAATTTCGGTATGGTAAAATTTAATTAGGCGAAGGTGGATAGTGATGTACAGAATTTTAGTGCTTTTCTAGAAGGTATATTAAACTATAAAAAGGCAGTTTTTTTTTTTTTAAATTTCAAATTTTTTATCCCACATTATCATGTAGACAAAGCTAACATATGGTAACTCTGGGAATAATTCCAGAATCTGTTGTCTCTTGCTCTGTCTACATGTAAATTAACACTGACATTTATCACACCATAACACAGGAGAGTACCGCCAAAAGCCATACTGTCCTTTACATCCATTCTACTTTTGTAGTTTTACCTGCTCGAGTATTTTTTACATATCAGGGCCAAGAAAATCTGTGTGTGCCAAATGTGAGAATGATTCTTTGAACTGTTTGTGAGCTTTATATGTTCACCATAAATGGTCCATCTGATGTTTTTAAATAGACACTGACATTGTGAGGGAAACAGTAAATGGTAAGACTTATGGAAAGTATTACTAGATCTGGATTTACACAGTCACATTTAGATTTTTCTGCCATAGTTCTAATGTTATGTTCAGCCTAATGGTTTTACTTATTGTGCTGTTTTGTTTTTGATTGAGATGAAATAAAATTGACTGACTAAACATGTCATTTGAGTGGATTTATAACCTTTATATAGAAAAAAAAAAAAAAAAGGGTACATACTGTATTCTTCAGTTTTAGTTGAAAATGATAATAGCAGCATATAGACTGGCACTGTGTCACATTTCTAAAGATATACCTTCTTCTAGGTGTTTACCAGTGCACCATATGCACACATTTGATCTTCTTTAATACATACTGCTGACAAGTTCTCAACTTAAAATTAATTTGTTTAGATAATAAATGTATAATTAATGAATACATTATAATTTATGCACATATTGTATTTTATTATCATGTTTATTTTTGTTGCTAAATCCTATTGATGTGTTGTCTTACTAGACTAAAATACATAAGATACTATATTCTATGTATTTATTACATGTACACACTGTATACAGTCTATGGTACACACACACACACACACACACACAAAGATAAAACAAATAAAGACTACAGTATTACCTGAAGAAATAGGAATAATGTGTGGACAATTTAATTATTTTTCACATTTTAATTTAGTGTGTTTGTATTTTCAATTTAACGGGAAAATCTATACGTGTTAGGAGAAGATTGAGAGGCGACCACGTCTGTCGTCACTTTGTGTACGTACTGACGTCGAAGTCACGCAGCCCAGACGCAGAGTATATTTTTCAAGCTCCCGCCCTTTCCTCTTCCTTTTCCGTTGTTGGAAGTTATCGTGCCTAAGGTGCTTGGTTCTTCGTCTGAAGCTAAGGCCCACAATCCGGCGACTAGCACCGTAAAATTTAGGCATCCGACGCCATAAACAAAAAATTAACCATCTACAATGGCCTCCGTGTCCGAGCTCGCCTGTATTTACTCCGCTCTGATCCTCCACGACGATGAAGTCACCGTCACCGTAAGTATCCTGACTGCCGTCAGCCGTAATGTCTTCAGTGCTCCGGGGGTGTAATGTGCTGGTGTTGAAAGCCCTAAATAAATCCGAGATAGTAAGAACTCGATTGACTAACTGGGATAGTACTATATATGTTAAGATACGAGATAAATACGAGTTAAAGTGTACAGATGTCAAAACAGCCCTGTCTACCGGCCAAAATGGCGGCATGCTTATTGCCTACTTAAGACCACGTTTCTGTACCAGGGCAGCATGTGTGTTTTCTGACACTCGTGTTTTAAATTAACAATATGTGGCTCAAGCTATTGTCACTCGCCACATGTTTCACATCTAAACTAATAGTTGAAGCTACAGATACGCCTTTCACTCAATGAATGCTAATGCTAAAATAGTGAAACCACAATAGCACACCAAGCATTTAGTATCAGGAGTATAAGTTTAATAACCTACACAGATATGGGATTATTCGTGTGTCTCCTCTGCTACATTAATCATAGCCCTGTGGTAGTCTTTTTTTTTTTTTTTGACAAGTTGGTACACGTGGGTGCTGCACAACATCAATATGAGGACAGGCTGCTTAAATTACCACAGTGCACAGCTTGTTGCACGTAAATCTCAATGTTGTATTTTAGCAATAACTAATTAGTGAGTGTCAATGTTTAATCTGTTTAGCAGTTAAACTGTCAGTTATTTTTCTGTTGACTTGTGTAGTCTTAGTTGTCACACAATAGTTACATGTCTCTCCAAATCACTTGTGTTCACAGTTTACAGTATAAACCTATGGATATTTAATTTACAATGATTAAGACAAGCAAAGCAACCACTTATCACATTTGTTTAAACCTGGAAGCAGTAAATAATCTTGCTTTCTGAGAATAGTGACAATCAGTAGATTAATAGATTGACAGATTAATCAGATACTATTTTAATAAAAGTTGTCAGTTGTAGCCTCTCAAATGTGACAATCTGTAGCATTTTTTTTTTTTTACCATTTTGACCTTTTTATAGACGACTACAAATTGAAATCAACTGATAATGAAAATAATCATCACTTGCAGCCTTTCTCAGACATGTTAAAATCATGTGTAAAGTTGGTACTAGCTGTATAATTTTGCAATGATGTCTTTCTGCAGGAGGACAAGCTGAATGCTCTGATCAAGGCTGCTGGAGTCACTGTGGAGCCCTTCTGGCCAAGTCTGTTCGCCAAGGTAAGAGATGGACACGTCAAAATGCTGTTGTGCCATGGTGATCTGAAGAGATCAATGTTGATTAAATGAGGGATGCTGCACATGCAGGGTTTAAACCTGTAGGATTTTTGGAGTGGCTTCTGCTGAGTTAGAATTTTTAACAGACAACGCTGTTGTATATAGTAGAATAGAGACAACCCAGGACAGTGTGTCCCTTTACCACTAATCTACAGCCAGAGTTAAGTTAGTGCAGCTCCAAAATCTTTTCCACAGGCAACAAGTCTTGGCGTCTACATGTTCCAGAGACTGAATGTGTCTAAAACTCAACTGACCATTACAAGTGGAAAAAATAATAATCCTGTATAATTTAAGAAAGATATCTAACCCTCAAGTGCCCTAAGGTGTAATACTGTAGATCACTGACACTGTAGCTATAGTACATCACATATGAGGACTAAATTATATAATGGCTGTACTGTGTGAATTTCCTACATGTTGCCTATGTTAACAATCCAGTTTCTCTCTGGTCCATCTTATTTAAGTTGTCACTTTCTGAAGTTTTGAAGAGTGTGCATGAGGTGGTAGTTGGTGGTTTACATCCAGTTATTGGCACCTTTCTTTCTTTTTTTCTTTCTTTTTTTTAAAGACATTTAAATGAAACTTGTTGAAACACTGATATGTAGGAAATGTTCTGCAGTGTATGTACTATATGACTGCTGTGTTGTATAGTTTAGTATAGAGACTGACTCTATGTACAGTAAGCTCAGTATCAAGTTTGAAGTGATCCAGATGCATCATTCACAAGAATAAGCACTTTTAAATGAGGCGACACTGACCTGTGAATGTTTTACTTGTTGTAGGCTCTGTCCAGCATTGACATCGGCAGCCTGATCTGCAACGTTGGAGCCGGAGGTGGTGCTCCCGCTGGAGCCCCAGCTGCTGGAGTTGCTGCTGCTACTGGTGACGCCCCAGGTAACTAGACATTTTGATTTAGTAAGGGTTTTCTAGGGTCTTGAGTCAAACTTTCCACAAATTGTAAATTAAGTTTGGAGGTTTTTTGGGTTGTTTTTTTCGTAGTCTAACAATAAGTGATGTGCTTATGGCTTTGACATTACAAGCTGAAGAACCTGTGAACAATTTGCTAACTGGTGTGAGACTTTGCTTGATTCAAAGAGAAAACCTTTCAGAAAAGTCTTTACCATATAGGAACTTTGTGCATATGCTGATTATCTCACATTTTTGGCCAAGTGTTTGAATTGTCAGAAATATCCCAGAGCTCAACTGCAAAGGAGAGCATGCATATTCTACATCTTAAACTTTAACCATTACCTTTTTTGCTTTGCCCCTGCAGCCAAGGAGGAGGAGAAGAAGGAGGAGAAGAAGGAAGAGTCCGAGGAGTCTGATGACGACATGGGCTTCGGTCTCTTTGATTAAAACAGCTGTTTTTGTAACAAAACACAATAAAAGTATAAAAATGAGAGCTGACTTGTCTGTGTTCTGTGCTATGATTGTCTTTGGTAAAGAAAAGTTTCAATTTTTTTTTTTTTTTTAACAAGCAAGAGGCTTTGGCACATTAAACATTTAAGTGGTGGATATATTTTTATTATAACAGTCTCTGAAAATATTTGTGGTAGTGGGACAGTGGCTGCCAAGAATAAAGCAGAATTGATGCTCAAAAAAGGAAACCAATGGATAGTAAAGATGGTAGATGGATTGTACTAAAACTAAGAAATTAAAATGCACAAACTGAACTGAAATAATCAAATGACAGCACATAATCGATGCTGACCCAATGTAAAACACATTAGTATGTCTAGTGGATAGATTATTCAGAAGACAATACAGCACTTGGCATCTTTTCATTATTGTGCTTATTCATGAGCTCGTGAACCTGTAATGATTGGTGTCAACATGTTACTCGTTACAGTCGTTTTTTCCCAACTTTTTTATTTGGCTTTATTTTGTCTTACTTAATTTTCCCTCTAAATCACAGTAACAACAGCACAGACACCAATTGAGTGATTAAGTTTTAGCAAAGTCTTTATAATGTCTCTGGTTTGACGGGGTGGGCATGACAGTAAGGAGAAAGGGAGCTTTTTAGACAAATGAGTACATTTAGGATGTACTGTGTAAATGTGTACCAAAAAAGACAGATGTAGTCTGTGAGACATAAGAGAACCACAAACCAGGAGGGTGTTCACGTAGGTAATAGTTGAATCTGCTGTGATCTCAGTAACAATCACAGATTGATGAACTTTCATTCAAAGAAAATGAAAATTCCACAGACATTTAAGAAGTCCTAACGCCTAGTTCATTTGTCATAGCTTTACTTCGTCATAGAAAGGGTTAGGGAACCGGGTCTTTAAAGTGTATTAATATACCGTATTCCCTCTTTAACTGTAGAAAAGACTTCAAGGATAAGGGGTAAGAGGTTGGTTTGGCAAATGTATGCCTGTTTAACCGCACTACCTTCGTTAAAGTGCAGCACGCAGCCGCTTCCCTGAGCTTTGCTATGACAACCACCCGGCACTATCTCCCATGCAGCCGACGATAGAGTGCTGAACTGGGTTTTCTAACTTTTGACAATAAAATAGCCGGCAGTGCTTTCAGTCAACTATGACATTTTTTGTCAGAGTCAACAATGATGTTAAACACAACCGACGGTCTGCCTCCAACACCAGCCACAAATAACCTTACTGGTAACAGGTAACATTAGCTAACGCTTCCAACTAGCTAAACATTTGAATACATCTTTGCTGCAAGATATCGCTAGCTCCCGAAAAGTCATAAAACGTCAACATAAACGTTAAAAAAAAGCAGGTCTGACCACGTACTGTCGGCATCCTTTGGTCACAAAAAAATAAGTGTTCAGCGGTGTTTGATAGGATTTATACCTGGTAAAATACGTCTCTCAACATGAGTTTCCGTAGTGTAGTGGTTATCACGTTCGCCTCACACGCGAAAGGTCCCCGGTTCGAAACCGGGCGGAAACAGTTTTTTCGTTTTCAATTTTACTGTCAAACACACGAAAGAACAGATAAAAGTGCTTCACTCGCCGCTGGAGTGCTGAATCCAACCAGCCGATTACTCATTCCGCGTCTCACGACCTCGAGTGTGATATTGCTTTTATACATCAGTTGTACGAGCGCCACATTAGTTATAAGCAAGAACAGATTATGATTTGTTTGTCTATGTCATCATCTTCGCCAACTCAAATAACATCGTCTTGACCTGCACAGTGCAAACTAGCTTGCTACTTTGTCTACACGTTACCTCAGGTGTGCGCTGAAGTATCCAAGGTTCTTCCCTTCATCCTCTTCTGACGACCATACATCATTTAATGAAATGCAAAATGTTATTTCTGGAAATATATTCATCTTTGCAAAGTTTGCTACAATCTAAGATAGATAACGACCGTTATTGTAACGATAATTAACGATTAACAGAACACCTGTAAAGCGGAGTGATACGCGTGGTTAAAAGTCTCAGTGCTGCTAAAATCTATATAAGTACTCATGGAATGCCTCTTCCCCAATCTATTCACCTGGTCGGAACTAACTAAGTCGAAAAATAAGGCATAAAAAGTTATAGTATTTATGGTGACATTTTAATGGGATTTTTCGACAGAAATTAAACTCAACAAACTTTGATATATTCAGCATTTGTTTGTTGCATGTAGCATGTTTACCGCTGCTAGCTGACTGCTAGCCTACAGAGGACAGAGCTAGCTTGCTAGTTAACGCTTGCTAACATTGTTAAATAACATCAGTTGACATTCCTGGCCCCTTTCAGTCAATCAAACGATAGCATGCCTAAATCAGTTGTCTTGGAGACGTAGCCAAATATTGGTGGGGACAATTCTGTCCTCCCAAAATATTGGTAAGGACATGTACCTAAGGTTTCAACCACTAAATGTGAAATTAACATGGAGCTGATGACTCACACTGTCAATGAATAATGTTATTTTTGCATTTACTGTTAGAAGAAAGCCCCTAGTCCTGGCAGGTCAAACTGTGTTACATTACACTACATTTAATAGCCCTTTATTTTGTTTCAGATTTTTTCCTTTCCTCTGTGTTTGCCAGACAGTGGTTGGAGTTCTGCCCACAGTTCAATTTTGGTGTTGCCCAAAGGGAACCGGCAGGTTCTCTCATCTCTGCAGAGCATTTCTGAGGTTCTGTTAGAATGACCGTTGGGTTTTTGGTCACCTCGTTGACTGAGGCGCTTCATGTCCAATTACTGGGATTGGCTGGGCAGCCAACTCTAAGAAGAGTACTGGTGGTTTGGAATGCCACAGCAAAGGGTCTGAATCTTTTATAAATTATACTTTAGTTTTATATTTTTAATAGATTTTCAAAATTGTATCCATTTAAAATAAAATCTACAACCCAGAGTTCAAGAAGATCCTTTTTTTAGTCTGAATCCAAGCACATAAAGATCCTCTAAAGTAATATAGCAAATAATAATAAATATATATAATCTTTACAAAGAATATAAAGGCAGACAGAGACAGTGACAGTGCTAGCCGTATTTCTTAATGATAACAGTGTTTTTATTTGCTTGGTTTAGCAACTGTACATGTGGCTCCTTCCTGAGAATACTGCTCACCTCAGGGGAGAGGAAACAGTGGAAAGGAGAGAGAATCAGAGAGGGAGGAGAGGAGGAGAGAGCATGGGTAACAGAGGAAGAAAAAGAAGAAATGCACAGTGGCAGACCAGGAGAAGAGAGGGAATAAAGGTATAAATAACTCCAGTACAGGAGGTAGAAAGATAGAAGAAGACATGAAGACAAATGGAGGAGAAATAAAGAGCAAATCACATTAGACATAAACAATTCCTGGTTTGGAGAAGAGTTTACGATGCAACTATTTCAATGCAGACAAAAAAAAAAAGTGCAGCCAGTTGTACGTAAATGAAAACTGCAACTGTAATTCACCTCCTAATAAAAACTAAAAGATTATCATCAACGTTGAATTCTGTTTGAAATATGAACCAACAGTTTTGTAAAAGAAGTATTTCAAAGTCCCTGAAAATCAAATTCCTGGATCAACTAACCTGAAGGAAATTTGACAAAGAGAGTGTAACTGAAATCTTGCACATTGTTGAGTGTACATGACTGATGCAACAACACATTTGGCTTGAATATACAATGCAAGCAACAAAGTGACCAATGAATTTTACACTGAGTTGCTGCTAAAAACAATTAACCAATATTTTGAGTGAAATGTTCCTTTTTTTTTTTTTATCAATTGCAGTTCATTTGGCACAGGGCGACCTGCTATACAGTATAATTAGCACCTCCATGGTAACTTAAAAATGACCCTTCCTCCACCTCTCACCCCTCCATCCCCTCACTCTCCCCCCAGTTCATCCCTCCCCCTTATTCACTAACAACTCATGCCTCAGAAATGTGTTAAAAATATAGCTTCTTTGTATATTTACTATGTAGTTAACTTAAAAAGTGGCCTGTGGCAGTTTTTTTTTTATCATGTTTTTCCATAAAAAGACATTTAGTTTGTTCTTCAAAATTCAGCTTTCATATTTCATTTTTATGCCATGTCTTGATGCCTGAGATAGAGAGATCTAGGGAGGAAGATGAAAAAAAAGAGAGATGAAATTATGACATATATGAGCAGCTGTACTGTAAATCAGTAATTTCTGCTCATACAAGTTTCAAGAGGAAGACTGAAAAACTGACACAGACATACTGTAAGAGTCAAGGCTGAAAGGAGTAGTAATAATAATAATAATTAATCATGATATAAAAGCATGTTTAAACAACAACCTTATGAAATCATCTTCATGATCCTCCTCATTCTGGCTCTTCAGTTCCAGTTGTTACATCCTGCATATGTGGAGAGTGTTAGTCTTGTGTTTATGTGGCAAGTTGATGACGCGTCTGTGCAGTCCTGCAAACGAGCCTCTGAAATCTCCTGTTTAATTCATTTTCTTCAAAGATTAAAAAGTAGTGATGGATGATTCTTGAGGATACGTGATGGGAGAAAGGAGTGTTTCTCTGGATACAAAAGCAAAATAATGCAACAAAAGTACAAAACAACACAATATTGACCAAAGAGCGGAGAGAAAAAAGGAAGCGGTGAATGTTTGAGGGAGGAGAAGAGGGAGCTGATTGTTTCAGTCAGTCATGTCTGCTGTCCATCAGTCGGTGTTTTTCATCCATCACTGATATCCATCTAAGTGTTCTCTTCTGCTGCACTCTCTGTCTCCATAGCAACATAATCTCCTGGCCCCGCCCCCCGCCACTTCCAGGCGTGAACGGATCCGGGGCTAATGTGGGCGGGTCTGGGTGATCATCTTGAGTCGCGATTGGTCGATGACGTCCAGCAGGTTCTTGGCGTCGACTGCGAGGGCGTGAGCTGCCATTAGCATCTGTTTCTTGTAGTCCTTTTGTAAACTGTCCAGAGAACAGAAAACAACTGTGTGACCATCGCTGTGAAGCTACATCATTGATCAACAGAACACATACAGTGCATTCGTACCCACCTTGTCATGACATACTGTTGGGCCAGTTTCATCTTCGCTATCAACTCTGCCAGATCTGAATTCAACAACTTCTGGGCCATCTCAATCTGTGATAATACAAACAAAATAGAAGCTTCTGAGTCACTTCAACCAATTAAAGAATAACTATGAAAGAAAAAATTTATATTTACAAAGTTGTAGGAGTCACAATAGACAAATTATGATTCAGTAGATGGAGCCTTTCCAGGCCATTCCTAAAAGTCTAGGTAGACTGCTGCTCATGCTCACACCCACGTCAGCTGTAAGCTAACTCACAGCCATCAGTTAACATGTTTTTTCCTCCACAATTCAGAAACTTTTTTTGCCTTTGTAACAATGTGTGGGAACTAGAAGTCACACAGGGCTGTTTTCCATGCAGCGTTTGACATGACAACATGAGTCTGCATGGACAAGATGTGCAAAAGTAACATCTTATCCCTGTGTGTTTGAGTGAAAGAAAATAATCATTAAATGGTAGAGCATAAAAATGTGTGTGTGTGTGTGTGTGTGTGTGTGTGTGTATGTGTGTGTGTTTACCTCTCTGTGTGTGCTGGCTGGCAGCACAGGAATTGTCTCATCTACTGTTGCTAGCAGAGTCCTCAGAGCCAGCCCCACCTCCTAAAACACATTTTTGTGATAATCTTTAGTCAACATGCGCTTTTAAAGACACAAGATGTTTTAATGCACCCTGTGTCTCAATACTTAAAAATTAAGAGAAGGTAAACAGTTCTTGACAAAGCTCATGTGTCAGTCAGGACAACTCCGTTTTGCAGATGCTTGTCAGAGTTGTACTTTCTTTTCATTTTCAGAGATTTAATGTGAATCCTACCTTGACCATGGGGACGTACTCCTCTGGTGCTGCAGGCTGAATCCTGTTGGACATCTCTATCACAGCTTTAACCAATCCTGTCACATTCTCATACACTTTGTCGTTAGAACGATCCAAGTTGGCGGTGGGAGGCGGGCTGATCTCCTGAGGCTGCAACTGCACCAGGGGAGAGAGATTTCTTTTTTTCAGTGAACAACTTATGAGGAAAGTATTAATTTCCAATGTAATTTCTCTTTCCTCTATTTTATCACATTATTATTTATGACAAATTGGATTTTTAAATATGAGCAAAATAACATTTTCCTCTGCCAAGATCCATATAGATAAGTGTAGTTACGCAGACTTAACACTGGGGGGCAGAACCTGACTACACAAAAACTAGAGGCACAAAGGACGATTTACACTCCCTCTCTCAAACACACACACACAAACCCACACACACACACACACACACACACACACACACACACACACACACACACACACACACACACACACCAGATCGCATAGTGACCTTTGATGATTACCATCTACATGCATTTCTACCTACATACTAGATACCTCGACTTTTCTACTGTGAAAAATGAGTGTTTAGGTTGTTAGTGCAAACTGGCCTCTAACCAGTTAATGACAGGAACTAACTCAACTTCCCTCTAAGGACGGTAGAGTCAGTCTACTGAGCATCTACTAATCTGTGCTACAACACTTACAGTGACATTTTAGATTTATTTTTCTTCACCAGAAATATTCACAAAATGTTTTATTATCAAAAGATTGCTGACATCACCCAAATATAACCAGTGGCTCATTAGTATGTAGCTGGTGGTACCCATAACTGTTAATGGGAATTTCTGTTTTGTCTTATTTTTCTGAAGTGCCCAATAATGATATTTTGTTCTGTCACTGGTGAAGAAAAAAATCATTTTGCTTCACTGCAAAGTGACAATAACTATGAGCTAACTAACTCTACAATGATAACAGACACACACAGATCATCTTACCCTCCACGGCTATGGGGAGGTTGAAGAGAGGAGAGAGAGGTGTGGGCAGGTGGATGGGGGTTTGACAAGGAAGAGGGTGAGGGAGAGTGTGCAAAAATGGGGGAAGTGTTTGACGGATAGATTGGTGGATGCAGAGTAAAAAAGAGAGAAAAAGGAGAATATGGATGAAGAACAAGACGATGGGTGTTAAAGGAAACACAGGATGGAGGGATGTTAATGACAGAGGGGAAGAAGAAGTAAATGGGGGAGAGAAGAGGGACAGCACATTAGGCCAAAGCCAACCACAGGCTAGGCATGACATGGCACAGCATGCAACCCATCAGCACAATGCCAAATAGTTTTCAAGTCACATCAAAAACTATACGCCAGAGTGGGAATGTCCAAACCAAGCAAGCAAGATTAACACAGTTCCTGACTAAATAAGGTTAAATAAGAGCATAATGAAGGAATTTTTGTTCACAAAAATGATCTTAATCAGCTACATCTGATCATTTTTAAACTTAAACTGTCCCGTTTTGAGCTTCCGCATATTTACGTGTGCATATATACCTTGACCCCCTCGTTGTAGCTGTCCACAGGGCAGAGACTGGCCAGGTTGCTGAGGTGACCGGGAGCTCCAGGGCGGGGCGGCTTCTTCGGAGGGGCTACATGTTCTGGGAAAAAAAGGAGATTGCTCGTATCATTGGTATGATAGCATGCTAGGTAAGATGCACGTTAATAGGTCAATAGGTAAAGTATGTAACTATCATTGATGTACATGTTAAGACATCAATAATAATGCAATAATACAAGATAGAAGCTATGATATATAATATTTCAGTATTATTAACAGTCTAAAAGGGTAAATCTGTAGAATAAGAACTTCTACTTTTCATACATTTTGCTGGTAATACTTTACTTGAATGCAGGACAGTGTGTTATCTCTACTTTCAGTCAAGTACAGAATGAGAGCACTTGTACTCCATAGTATGGAGGATGTCAGTATGATGGTTCTCTCACCTGGTTTCCCTACAGGCTGGTAGATGTGTTGGCTTCCACCCTGTGCAGAGACAGAACACACTCAACAAGTTAATGCTGGGCACTTTTGTTATGGTACCTAAAACTTCCAATAGCCTTTAATCATGAAATAATAAAAAGAAATCTGACATAAATTATTTAAATAAGTACGTCTCATGTTATGTCATTTCAGGAAAGAGTTAATAAAACACTAACTTCACATGCTGAATTCAAGAAAACTGCATTAACAGTTGTTATGGTGTACTGAGAAGTCCCTCCAGCAATGGCACCGGTCAGCTGATACAGTGCAGAGAGATAATCAGGGTAAAGCTGAAAACTTGCATTAGCTTTAGGATATTATAACCCTGGTTTGCAGTAAGATAGGACTGTGCAGTGCTTCTGGGTTTAAAGTTCCCATGAGCCTTCTGTGGTCATGTGGTTGGTGTGTAGGCAGTGCCCTCCCTGGCACACAGACAGAAATACTTTCCCTCCCTCTCCCAGCGTCTGTATTTCCTCTCTGCGTCTGTCTGTCTGTCAGTCAGTCAGTCGGGCTGAAAGCTTCTCTCTGCCTCCCTTTCGCACTTTTCTTTCTCCTTTTTTTGCTATACTTTCTAATTTCTGCTACTTTGTCTGTGCTACTTCCTCTTTTCCTTCTTTTAAGCAACACCAAGTATTTGTTTTACCACAGCATTCCTTCTTCATCACTATCTGTGTTTCTGTGATTGAAAAGTCAATGCATCTTCATTGCAGCTAAAAAAATATGAGTGATTTTACTTAAAATGTAAGTACCAACACAATGTTCACACACACATGCACACACACACACACGCACACACACACACACACACACACACACACACACACACACACACACACACACACACAAAACAAACAAACAAACAGTGACTGACCGGTGCTTGTAGTGTGCCGTCCTCTCTGTCGATGCTTCCTCTGCTGTTTCTGGACTCAGCCTTCTGCAAGGAAGAGACACAACCACAAAAATTAATTGAGAAAATGAAATGAAATGAAGAAAAACAAGCATGTGTTTCTGTGTAATTTCCATTCCTGTGAAATTATACTCAAGTTTTCCCAGGTAGTTCTAGTTCCGCATTTAAACGCAACAAATTAAATGAAATAACACAGCTTTGTTTCCACATCATTAACATTTCATACAACCACAGGCAAAAAGTAAAACACAGCCAGTAGAAGGTTTACCAGTCACCTACAGGTTCTAGAAATAAATAGTCTAGCAAATCAGCTTCTGTACTGGTAGTTTCTTTTCCTAACCAAAAACACTCAACAGAAAAAAAAATCACGATTTAACTAGAAAGATGATTTCACCGACTTTAAACTCCACCAGTTACTATGACCTGCAGCCGCTTCTCATTTTTTCATCGACTTTGCATAAAAACACATCATCATTCAGCATCATCATCATCATCTTCATCATCATCATCAAATCAGTAAGGATGAAGAGCAGCAGATAAGCACCACCGTGGTCACATATAGATAACGACACAACTGCAGTCTTTTCGCACATTAACTCCTACAGAAAGCAACATCATAAAACCTGTCAAACGTGACTGCTACTGCTATCTCCCCCTCCCTCTTTGTCTCTGTTTCAGTACCGTTTTGGTGAAGCACGCCTTGAAGAGATGCATCCTGGGAGAACAGTGCCTGAAGAAGATGGGAGGAGGAATGCAGAGAGTGGAGGCCATCGAAAGAAGGGCGGGGATAGGGACGGAAAGTATGAGAGAAAGATAAGAGAGAGATGGAAGCGAAGGAAAACTTAAGATATAGAGAGAAAGAGCGACTGAGAAATCAGAGGGGGAAAGAGAGGCAGAGAAACTGGTGCAGACATAAAACCAAGAGCATAGAAGACTGTTTGAAGAGACTGAGTGAAATGAACTGAGAAAGACAGAAAAACTGAGTCAGGGAAGAATGGAGGGGGAGGAAAAGACAGAGGGAGAAAGAGGGAAAGTTTTTCCAGAGGAGGAAAAGCTCCACTGAGCCACAGAGACAAAATCCTGGAGGGGAAAGATCCAACCGCCTCACTCTCCTCTCTGTTTCTCTCCTTCAGTCTGTTTCTCCCTCCCACTCTTTCCATCTCTCTGCATCTCCCCCTCTCCGTTTCTCTCTCTCTGATGGGTGACTCCTTGCTCGTTCCTCCCTCTCCATCGCTCTTGCCAATCCCACTTCCTTTCTCCCTCCTTCTGTCCTCCACTTTCGTTCCTCCTCACAAATTTTCATCTCTTTCTTTTCAGACTTTACTTTCCTTCTCTCTCTTTGCACTTTTTTTTCATTTTCCTGTTGATCCTCCTTTCATTTGTCACAAAGTTTACTTTCATATTTCACCAGCAGAAATTTACTCCTCGGTCACTTCTGCCATATAATATTCCAACACACGCTCTGCATTAGTTAAGCTCCATTTTCCTCATTTGTCTGAAGGCTAAAAATCCTACTCGTCTCTTTCCTTCCTGAAAGTAGATTCGGAGGGAAACTGATATGAAACAAAAGCTTTCATGCCGACTTCCCCTGCTAAAAAGAACATGTAAGAGTCAGAGCACACACAGTGTAAACAGCTGCTTTAAGGAGTAAAAAAGTTCTTCACTAAAAGTAAAATTTAAGACACATTTATCAAATCATAACTTATTCTTTCTTACAAGAGTAGAAATAACCTTCGAGTGATCACATGACGATCACGTGTATGCTCTGAGCATAGAGACAAGTAACTTCCATCTTTTCCATTGTTTATTTCTTTAAAGAAATCTTTAAATTTTCTTAGTGATATTTCATGCTGCAAACTTATACTTAATTATATTTTTTAAGTTAATGTTATTTGTTTAAAATCTTTAATATCCTAAGTAGCAATTAATGTGAAATTAACAATAATCTAATACATTTACAGAGAGATATCAAGATTAAAGCAGCAGCAGCAGCAATGTTGTATTTCAAAAGACATTTAATAAATTACTTTTTTTCTCAAGTTTTCAAGTAGGAGTAAAAGAAAAAAAAAGTACTTTCATTCTTATCTTTCACTTAACTCCAAAATTTCACTTGTAGCAGTTTGATTAATACGAGCCCTGAACTTGACTCTTGTGTCCAAAAAAAAACTTGGTGAGTTCAACATTTGGGATTCTTTCAATATAAAACCTGTGTTATTTAAAACATTTTCAATGCCATTACCCATCTGAGGGTTTCACAGCTGTTCATACAAAACTTTACGTGTTACTCAAGGGTTCCTGGCAGGGACAAGGAGTCGAGGAGCCTTTTTAAAACCAAAAACTCTAGGCCATGCATGCCAAAATACTCCATACCAATACAAATGTATGAAGATGTTCTTTGTAATATTGTCTGCACACTGACTGACACACAAATTCCTTGACTGGAAACAGTGAGCTACAATCTACAGCTACATTCATAAACCTCACTGCCTCATAAAATAACCCGCTCACAATTTGTCTTTGTGGTTAAATCAGCTGAGTGTCATATCTGATTGGTGGTGATAGTTTAGTCTATGGCTCCATTTTCAGCGACTAGAACCGTAACATTATCAGATTAGACCACGATTAGCAGAGACTTGAATTCACCACACTAACTTTCTTGTTTGCATGAAAGGACTTGTGGTGTTAAAATGGTGGAGCATCAAGGGGAATGGAAAGAAATCCCTGAGCAGTGGTTGTCATTAGTCCCTCTTCGATGTATCAAGAATAAGGACTGTGATTAATAATAAGTCTTTCTAATGATGTGATATTTCATCAGTTCCTGTGGGGAAAGTTTCCTCTCACTGTCCATTTGGGCAGGGGTCAAAGGTCAGGGTCAGCAACATAATAGTGATCCCGAAGATGCTGGTGATTTGCCACTGAGCAATGTGTGCCATTTTGAGTCCTAGCTGAAATAAATGAGTCTTACCATGAGTTTGTGAAGGTAGGTGCAGAGAAGAACGGGTGCATCAAGAAAACACACAAGTAAAAAGCTGTGCCCTGGGTTTATCAAATAACACGGAAGATATTAGCCATTCAATGCCAGGTCTGTCCTGTAAAGCACTAAATGTGCCTTTTAAACATGGCAAACCGATTGGTACCAGATGTACTAGTAAAAAGGGTGATAGATAAAGAGAGGGGACATTGCTCCCCAACACTCGTCACTCATCTGTATTTTTCCCTCTTTTAATCTGTCAGCTCTCCTACTCCTGGCTCAAAAATGAAAATGCTCTATCAAGGCAAGAGGAAGAGCAACTTGACCTGAAGAGAGAGGAAAAACAGCCAGTGATTTGGCTCCTTTTGGGGATATTTCAGTGCCTGATGAGATAAATCAAGCAACACTGAGCCAGTTCAAAAACCTGAAAAAGATATTCTTTAGCTCATCTGGCAACAATGATACACAAAGAGATGCTTTACCAAGTGGAAAACGTTCAGTCCAAACCAACTTTTCATGTCTACAGTTAAATATTTATTGTTTTTGTTGATTCATACTGTCAGTCATGACATCTACGCTTTATGGCATTTTTACAACATTCAGAGGTATCTATAACTAATACATGTGATTTTCTTCCAGATGTTTTATGATATCTATTTTTCAGAAGATTTTTACTCTTTTCAGGTTCGCTTTTTATGTAGCATCGTGTCCAGTATGTCCACGGTGACTGCAGCTGCTCTCTTCAGAAAAAGAAAATACTAACTTCTGCAAACTATCAGCAAATGACGACAACAGTACCACAGGCAGTGAGCCCCACTTGGCATCAAATGTATTCCACCTCCTTTCATTGCCAAAGATCTTGGGGCATGTGTACTGTTGTTTTTCCACACACAGCGCACTTGACATTGAGAGCAGGGCTATCCCCACTTCGCTACCTCTTTAGTCAATTTTAGAACTTTAGATCTGCCGCTGACCTTAAACTGTAGAATAATGATATTCAGATGATGTTTATAGAATTATATTACTTTCTAAGTTTCTCAGTGCTGCTAAAACCACACTTTTTTCTGCTGCCAGCAGGTGACACTGTGCCCCACTTGCCCCAAATGACCCATCGGCTCTAATCTTACCGAAAACAGAAAACTGAAGTTGGATGACAGACCATTCAATAATCAGCTATTCACCTTTTTTCACAATTTCTTATAACTCCTAGGAAGACAATAACGTAAACACATCTTCTCTCTTTAGCTCCTGCCTCTTTAGCACACATACTACGTGAGCAGCCTCCAACAGCCCCACACATGTAAACAAACCAATATGTGCTGATGAATAGGCAGCTAGTCATCCATCAAATTGACAATGGAGGTGACAAGTGCAAAGTTTGCGAGACCCATAGTCAGACTGGCCACAATTATTTGAATAAGACCCACATTGAAATATATCAGAAATTCCATTAAAGGGTCAATTTTTTAAAGGTATGGGTGTGTTACCATGAAGCTCTCCTCCTGCTCCAGCCACCGCTGGTCATCCTCCATCTGTTGCTGCTGCATCATCAGCCTCTCCTCCATCATAGCCTGACCAACACATCCACCATCCTGCAGAAAACATGGCTGCTTAAATATGCATTCTTGTTGTTTTGCTTAGTTTACTTTCTTTAGTCATACCACATGATACATTATAAAGTCAATTTTTTTCACATTTTGTCAAAAAGTAGAAACTGGATTCACAGGTGCAGCTCAGCAACATGTTTAATCATCTTTATTTGCTGATGAATGATTAATGAAAAAGAGCCATGATGAAAGAGCGTGATCTTAAAGACACAGGCTAATAAAAAATTCAGACATTTTCCTGACTGCTGTTTCTCTATCCCCCTGCACAGAACACTCTGTGGTGCCAGCACCTCACTACTATAAACAAACCTATTACATTCAATCAAAATGAAAAGTAAATTACATTACTGTTTATTAAATTTGAGAGCTAGTTTGTGTTAGTTCACCTGCCAGCTGAATACAAAATGTTCAATGTTTTCAGTCATCTTTGATTTACATTCAGGTGCCAGACAACAACTTGTCCTTTATTAGTTATTTTAGTTGCTCTGTTTCTTCTGTGTGTGATTTAGAGTTGCAGTAATGCATCATGGAGCTTCAATGTTAGGGTTAACACGTTGCGGCACATGTTCTACAACATGGTTCCAGTGACTGAGGAGTGACAGTGTCACAGTGTGTTTTCTCTGTCACATGTATGTGTGTGTGTACCTCCATGTTCGGGCTCCACAGTGCAGAGTGTTCAGGTCTGTGCTGATTCCAGGTATCGGTAGGAGGGTAGCTGCCTCCTACTCCTCCTACACCACCGTGGGCCGATGGCTGGAGGTGGACAGACAGAGAGAGGAAGAGAGGGACAGACAGTAAGAGAGAACAGTAATTAATTATGTAATGAACAAATAGTGCAATGTTCCTTCCCTTTTACATGCATGTTTGTTCTTGATACTTCTACAAAGACCAAGACTAAGACAGAAAGATGCAATGATCTTATAAACTGATCAATCCATGATTCCCCCTGCTTACCTTAATATGGCTTTAATAATGTGCATAACAAATATAACACAATTCAATTTGTAATGTTTTTGCTTTTGTATGGTTTGTTTATGTTGTTTTTCATCTCAAAAACATTGTTGGAGATGTATTAACAGAAAAAAAAAGCTGGAAAACTGAATGCAATAAAAAGAGAAAATGTGTGACGTACATATAAAGCATTACGTAGCAAACAAGTATAGTAACTTGAAGAAAACAAGAGCACTTGAATGTAGTGATGAAGTAATAAAGTGACAGTAACAAAGTGTAAACGTTATTCTTTCCTGCATGTTACTCTACTTGTTTGGTTTGGAACACCTCCCCTGCAGAGATTAATGTTACAGCTGTGAAAAATTCCCTTACATCAAATTCCTGTGCTTTCCCTGTTTGGATGACTAAAAACTGTGAGCACTTCAGGTGAAGTCTAATGTGTAATACCTGTTACCATAATATATGTTAATCCGACTTGTGGTATGAGTTAAATTGATGCTCTCCATATAAGGTCAGGTGAGAGAGAGAGAGAGAGAGAGAGAGAGAGAGAGAGAGAGAGAGCAGCTTATTGCCATAAAAGCTGAAGAACAGCTTTGATTTATTTGTGTGTGCATGTGTGTGCGTCTATGTATGTGAGTGGCTTTTAGCACTACAGGAAATGCCTGCTGTCTGCTCAGTTTATGAGGAGAGGAAGAACTGCCCTGAAAGTCTCTCTCATTTTCTCTCCTTTCACATTTCTCTTACTGACTTTGACACGTGCAGCACACGCTTCCTGTCTTCCAACACAGTCTGTCCTGATGTTACTCACATGCAATACAGAGTTTTTACTGGGTTGGCCTTTGTTGTAATGACAGTGTTCAACCTGGAAATTTCACAGACCAAGATCAGTTTGATAGTTAAAAGGATGATTTATAGAACCTGACAAGATATTTTTCCAGTAATGTAGGATAGAAATTTATGAGTTGTTTTTTAAGATTTGTGATTAATACATGTTTCTTTTTTTCTTATTTTTTTCTTGATTTATTACTTTTCCTGCACTTTTTCCAGACCTAATCTTTTTCGCTGGATTTAAGGAGTTTAGTCAGGGTTAGATTTTGTTAACGAAGATTGCCACACTGCCCAGGCTTTACCAGGACACATTCTCTTTGCCTCAACATGATCATTTATCTTTGCACCAAATGAAGTGGAAATGGCAGATTCTGTGTAACAGTATGTACATTTTCACTTAACAAAAACCTTATTCTATTCAACTCCTTTTTCTATTCAAACATTTCTTTTGCCATAAATAACAGTGTAAAATGACCTGAATAGGAAATAAACTAAATATTATCAATTATCAAGTGATGTTTATCATTAGAGGATACACTGACTTCCCTCATCTTGTTTGTTTCTGTGCTTAATACTGTTGATCTTTCCTAAAAGAGTATCAGTGTGTTTGTTCTGAAATGTTCCTGTAAGCTCTTGTAGAGTCCTAAAATCTTCCATCTTAAATTCTTACCGGAAAGTGGTTGTGTTGGGGGCTGGAGAAGAAGCCCTCACTGGAGCGAGGACTGGGGTAACCTGGTCTACTGGGCTACAGACACAAAGATAATGGTTTATTTTTGTTTACTACCCAAACACAAAAAAATAATAATTATGAAAATGAGAAAACAACAGTGAGCAATGCAGGTCTTTAAGAAAGTCTCTGAGTCTTACTTTAGGTGGTGCTTCATCAGACCCTCCAGAGTCCCAGGACACAGTGACTTGTCTCCTCATCTCCATTCGAAGTCTTTCCTCTTGCTGAAGCTTTTCTTCCTCCAGTATGGTGCTACACAAATTATAAATTATACACAACAAAAGTGCTCAGATTTAATATTTGCATTGGACTCACAATTAAAAGACAGGACTCATCTTAATAAATCATCTACTTCTTCATCCTAATAGGTGTATGTTCATATGATTTCACGATTTTCAGTAAAATAGTAATAAGGCCATAGTATTACCATTAGATTCTGTCTGCAAGGACATTAATCAGAAGTAACTCAATACAAAATATATATGTCTGTTAAAATATTCAAAATCACAGCTTAATTGATTAATTAAATAATTTACAAATGCAATTTCCTTGTGTGTTTCTACCGTCATGGCTGATCCCATTATTTCTTCATGTTCGGTGGAATCGGTTACATCATAAACTGCCCTGATCACATTTGATTTCACCTTTAAACATGGTTTCTGTGTTCTAAAAATGAAAATATCTAAAAAGCAAAATGTGATATGCAAGTAAGCGAATTTACAGTACTACACACAATTCATACTCAGCACGTAAATAAATTCACATTAGCACCTGTTTCCACATGTGTACACACACACAAAAACCAAAAACGTGTCATTACCTGAGCTGTGTTTTGAGTTCGGTGAATCGCGGCCTCTTGCTGGGGTCATACGACCAACATTTGGTCATCAAACTGTAGAGGGTGGGCGGGCACTGAGGAGGCATAGCCAGCCGCTCCCCGTTCTCTATCCTACCAATCACGTCATTGTTCTTCACCCCCTGGAAGGGCTTGATGCCGTACATCAGGATCTCCCACATGCACACACCTACAGAGACACAGAAACAAGCAGGCAGGTTTGTTTTAGGCAGAAAGTGATCAGTGTCAGGCAAAAACACTCTTGAAGCATCCTACAAAAAGATATTAGCAGCTGTGGAAGAAACAGTGTAGTAAAGGACTGATTCTCAGATGATGGACTGTAAAAACATTTTTTTCAGTGACAGAAACTAACACAACACAAAAATGTAATATCTTACCAAACATCCAGACATCACTGGCAGAGGTGAATCTTCTGAAGTTGATAGATTCTGGTGCCATCCACTTGATGGGAAGTTTACCTTTAGAAGCTGAAACAAAGCCAGATACAGATGATTACCTGCAGATTCAAGAGTATCTATAGAGTCTAGAGTAAGTTATATAACCACAATAAATCTGTAACTTAATTGGGTAATGGTTATTTTTGCACATAAGATGAGAAGAAGGAACTGTTAAATGAAAAATGCCAAATTGGTGACTCCTGTCAAGATAAACTGTAGTAGCCCGATGTCACCGGTAGATGGTGGTAAAGAACAAGCAACTACAAAACACTAGCAACAGCACACAACTAGAAATACAGGCTGGTCTCAAGTCAGCACTGCTGCCGTCTATAAACCAACAGCACGATATAAACAAGGTGGTAGATTTAGCTGATAACAGTGTGGAAGGTTAGGACATTAGAAACAATAAAAAACACATTTAAAATAAATAATGAATCCATGTTCTGTCTCAGAACAAAGCTGTGTACTGCTTGTGTGCGCGCGTTTTAGTGTGCAGGCGTTTCATTACCTTTGTAGTAAGAGCTGTCCTCCATGTATCGTGACAGACCAAAGTCTCCGAGCATCACACAGTCGACTGAAGAGACCAACACATTACGGGCTGCGATGTCCCTATAAAAACACAAATGGCTGTGGTTACGCTCCGAAACGTTGATGTTATTTGTCATTTATTTGATGCTTAATATCCATCGAAAGAACATGAGATGCACTGTGAATCACCACATCTGTGTCTGAAAGACCTGCTACGAAGTACAAATACATGTCCTTCACGTCACTTTATCAGAGTGAATTCAAGATGTAAAATTCATGCAGCATATATGATGACTGATGAGAGTCTGAAATATGCTCAACATAGAGTAAACTATCGAGTGTGTATTTTACAGCAAATACTGAATGAGTGAACAAGGGCATGCTGTCATACCAAAGCAAAATGATATTGTTCTGCTCATGTTTTCTTTCAGCAGAAACCCTTGAGACTGCCCTGGTGGATTAGTAAAAACCTTTACATGATCAACTATGAAATCAGTACATGCAAACACATAATCTGAGCCCACAGTTATTTCTCAATCAGGGTCTGTCTAATCTTTTTCTTAATCTTTTTGTGTGCGTGAGAGTGTGTGTGTGGGCGTATGAGCGTGAATGCTCGTGCGTTTAAGTTTACCTGTGTACAAAGCGTTTGCTCTCCAGATAGGCCAGCGCCGTGCTGAGCTGGTAGGCGAAGAGAATCAGAGTGGCCAGGTCCAGACTGTACTTCCTCACCTGAAGGAACGAGCGCAACTGTAGACAGAGAGAGAAACACCATGACGTCATATTGAGAGACACAGTTTTGTAGAATATAGATAATAATGCACGTCCCCACACACTGACAATGGTCTGTCAGAGTCAAGAGTGGATTTCTTTTCTAACACTGAACAGCTTCCTTTGTATAACGACAAGAAGTGAAACACACTCTCTTACACACAAAGAGCCTCGTGCGTACCTCTCCGAGAGTACAGAGCTCCATGATGATCCACACCGGGTTCTCTGTGATCACTCCGATCAGCTTGACAATGTGAGGGTGGTCAAACTGACGCATAGTCACTGCAGGGGAAACACACACACACATTCACACATAATTCATATCCTTGGGGATAAATAAAATATCTATCACTAAGTATGAAATGAGTGATAGTTTTATAATGTGTCAGGTGTGTGGTGTGTGTGGTCTTACATGCTTCTTGTAGGAACTTTTCTCTGACACTGTCTGAGGTACAGTTCTTACAGGTCTTAATGGCGACAGGTAGACCTGGTTTGTCCTGCACAACACACAATACACAAATTAGCAGATAAGCAGTGATATTGTATAGGAGTGGGAGATGTAGTGAAAATCAGTAGCATGATACCAATAAGGATACACTATATACATATATACAGTATATATCAAAACAAAAACAAATATGCAAAATCACATAGAATATTCACAATAAATTAATGTTTAATGCAAGTTGTCACATGTGTAAAGAAAGAAAAAAGCACTTCACTTATTTTGCTCGTTTTTGCTTACAATTTGCTTGGAAACATTAATCACTGAGAGTCGATAAACAATAATAGTAAATTTCTCTGCCCTAATGGTGAAGGTGTATATACAGTATCATCATAAACAGTAGATAATCTGATATTTGGACTTGTAGTAAAGGTGCACTCTTGAGAATATATATAATTTTTCATTTCAATGGTTTGTTTTATCTGGGTAATAAAGTGACTCTCAGATAGGAAAACTGTCTCGTTAATTATTGGTGTGCATATACAAAAAGTGCGCCTGAGCCTGAGCTTGAGTGTTTGTGTGCGCACTTCTACATACCGGACTGTTATAGACTCCTTGGTGTACATCTCCAAACTGACCCTCTCCAATGCAGCGACCTAACTCTATCCTGTCCCTCTGGATCTCATAGTCCCGCGCTGAGAGAGAGGAGCACAAAAGAAAAGAAGTGGAGAGAGTGAGAAAGGTCCATTCACCTGCTGTTCTTCATACACCGGAAACACTGAAAGGACCCATCACATTTGACATGCTTCTCTTGTAGACCACAGAGACAGGGCTTACCAGGACAAGACAATTTGTATGGTATGATATAATTATTTTTAATAACACACAAATAAGTAAAAGTATTAAGATACTGTTAAGATATTTTAAAATTTCTAGAAGTCAAATTATTGTCCTTTTTGGTAAACCCCATCCACTGGCAATAGGGTTTGACTAAAATAAACCCTTCATAATAAATGCACATCATTTTTGACCCAGGTTTGAGTAAATTCCCTTCCCCAACGACCTCTAACATCACAAACCTTGACTTGACATGCACACTGCAACACAAAACTGCAAACATACCAACTTAAGGTAAACCAATTTTACAAGCAAATGTAAGGTTCATAAACACTCTGCGCTCACATGCACACCAGAGTCCCAGTATCATTTCTGTTTCTGCCTGTACTGACATATTAAAAGACGGAAAACACAAACAAGTACTTCTGAATAAGATCATTAATTGAGGTAAAAGTCTGGAGCGCTCTCTGCACATGTAAACATCAATAGCCCATTTGTAAAGCAGAGAAGAAGCCCTCTTCAACAGACTTATACAAACTCATACATTGGATCTAAAGTGTGATCAATTTGGTCTTTGCTTTGCAGTATTTTTCTGTATTCATTCCAAAAGAATATAAATCAACAGTCGCAACTGACATCCACATGCTTTGACATCTTTGTTAATAACCACAAATAAGTAAAAGTATTAAGATACTGTTAAGATATTTTTAAAATTTCTAGAAGTCAAATTATTGTCCTTTTTGGTAAAACCCCATCCACTGCAATAGGGTTTGACTAAAATAAACCCTTCATAATATAATGCACATCATTTTTGACCCAGGTTTGAGTAAATTCCCTTCCCAACGACCTCTAACATCACAAACCCTGACTTGACATGCACACTGCAACACAAAACTGCAAACATACCAACTTAGGTAAACCAATTTTACAAGCAAATGTAAGGTTCATAACACTCTGCGCTCACATGCACACAAGTCCT